GGATTTTTGGGATTTTAGGGATTTTTGGGATTTTTGGGATTTCTTAACATGTATATAAAGAGAGGAATGTACTAGAGCAAAAGCAACAATAAAAGACCATCCTTTTATCATAAACTCAGACTAATATCTAACACTTTCACTTATCTCGTGCCACATCTCCACGCCTCTTTCGAAGTTACACGATCGGCGATCACGACGTAGCGACAGACTTGCCATTATTACCCCCAACAATTTGGTGGTGACTGTGAGATTCGAATTAACCGCGACAGAGCATTATCCCCCCGATATTTTTCGCGAACAACAAACCTAAAGAAAGAAAAAGAAGATTGCCAGTAAGTACAAAAGGATCACAATTATGGATGAAGAACAGTTCCAACCACTCCTGGAAGAAATAACTCGGCTGCTAGGACATACCGCGGGAGGAAGACCCGGGGCTCAGGAGGCGAATTACGTGAAGATTAGAACCTTCGCCGGTAGAGAAGATGACGACCCGATCGAATGGATGGAAGAATTCGAGAGGGCGGCAAATGCGAACAATTGGACCGACGAATAAAAACTTCAGATTGCGCCCGGATACCTGAGTGGGTTAGCCGCAGACTGGTATAGAGAGCAGAGAGGTAACATTAGAGAATGGAGGGATGAGGAACGAAACGACGAAAGTTTCCATCAACTGTTGATTGAGTACTTCGTGACCCTAGAGAAACAGCATCGATGGCAGAAAGAGCTTAATGAACTAGTGCAGGAAGAAAACGAGAGAGTAGACTCGTACGCCACGAAATTCAAAAAGTTACTGACACGTGTCGACCCCGAGGAAGGATTACCGCTTAATTACGTAATACGAATGTTTTTGAGTAGGTTAAAAGGGAACACGGCAACGTTTGTTGCTGTAACATCACCAGACACATTACAAGAAGCAATCTCCACAGCGAGACGAGTAGAAGCCGGCGAATACTACAGGAGGCAGACACCTGAAAAACAACAGCACAAAAAACTAGAGAATGAACTGAGTAACATCGCAAAAAGGATACAAGAAATCACCTTGAATTACGCAGCGACAAGACCAACCACTGATAGCGGAGACCGACAGCCCACTACTAGACCGAGGAGGAACGACAAATGCTTCCAATGCGGGGAGTATGGACATATCGCCAGATATTGCGATAAAAGATCAGTGGATAACCAAGAACACCTAAGACGACCAAGGAGTGTTAAACATTACGAAATAGAAGGGGATGACAACTACGAACTCGAAGAATATGACAAGGTGTATAATACCAACGTAACCCGAAAAGTAGAAAGACCACCCAAGAGGAGAATAGAACACTCAGACGATGGTGAACAAAGAGCCAGAAGAAAACCAGACAGGGTACCACCAACGGAAGTAGAGATCCATGAAGACGAACCGATGGACTTAGACTTGGAAGAAATTCCCAAGCCGCGCAGGAAAAGAGAACCGTCCGTAGTAGATTCACTGGCGTCATACAACATAGCCGACGACGTCCTCGCCTTAAAATCAAACATTACGTTGGGACAGCTGCTACAATACCCAAACCAGCGCAGGAACCTAGCCAAGATATTGAGGAGACCGGTACAACAACCTCAAGAAACTAACTATGTTACGTACAACCCAGGGGAACGAACAACAGCCTC